GGGTCCCAGCGGCTGCCAGAGGTGGGGTCAGGAAGGAATTCCCACCACCGCTACCCACTTGGCTCAGCAGAGCCCCCAAGGTTTCCCCTGCTCGGCCACCGCTCCGGGGTCTGCTGCAGGAGGGAGGGAGGCTGTGGCCTGTCACGGGCGGGAGATCGGACTAGAAGATCCCTCCAGGCCGTGGCATCTCTGAAGCCCTTAGGCGCCCTGGCAGAGAGGTGCTGGCCGCAGCTGCGGGAAGGGGGGCCGGAAAAACCAGAACCCCAGCCAGGCGCTAGCACCGCAAATACAAACGTCACTTCTGCCGTCACCAGCAAGCTGAAAAATCATCTCCAGCTACCGCGCCGCTGGCCCCCCCCAGCACCCGCCGGGAGCGCCCCGAGCCGGGCTCTCTCCTCCGGCAAGCGAGCCAGGGAGCGTGCCGGTCCCGGGAGGTTGGTGTGGTCTAGCAGCGTTCCCCACGCTGGCTCGGCTGGCTGGGCGGGTAGAAGACACTGAGGGGTCAGTCAGCTAAACAACAGCCCCGAGCACGGCGAGCCAGGCCCACAGACTTTCTGGCACCGCGGGAACTCGGCCACCCCCATGGTCCGGGGACATGCAGTGAACGAGCACCGTGCCGGACCAGAGCGGCTCAGAGCCTGCGCCCGGAGCCCCCATCTGACGGGTCGAATCGTTCCGTTGGCCTGGGCTTTGTGCTGTGACCCGCGCTGGCCCTGCGATCGCACGGCTGAGAGTGTGGGGCCCGGCGTGGGGCTCCCCGGGGCCAGCGCACAGGCAGCTAGAGCAGGCGTTTTCCGAGCCAGGCGCACCGAGAGAGGCGAGGGCGGGAAAAGGGCTTTTCCCCCGGCTCTGCCCTGCAGGGCTCGCAGCCTAATAAACCCCGGCCTGAGCTTTCCCCGGGCTCCAGCTCCCCCGTGCCCCCTACGGACATGCCCTCGACGCGGAGGGCCAACGAAAGGCAGCAGGAGGGCGGAGGAGGCTGCGGGGGGCATGGGGGGGCTGGCCTGGCCTCGGCAGCGCTCGCACACAAACATCCCGTCTCCACTTCACCGGCCCCGGCATGGCCCCTGGGTTTAGCATGAAACCCTCCCACCTCTTTGTG